AAAAAAACTAAGGCGAAGAGAGAAATTACCCCTTGGGCTAAACTACAGTCACCACTTATTAAGCTCAACATCGACGGGGCTTATGACCCAACAAATCACTATGGAGGATCAGGAGGAGTTTTTTGTGACTCCATAGGACAATGGATCTACGACTTTGAAACACATCTACCAAGTACAAACGCCATACATGTTGAACTACTGGCACTCTACCATGGACTAACAATTGCTTCCAATCGAAGACTTTGTCCATTAATTGTTGAAACAGACTCGCAGGTATTACTTCAAATGGGAAACCCAAGATACTTACAACTCATAACAGCTTGCAGGTCAACGATCCAGGAACTCAACATAAAACAACTCAACCACGCAATGAGAGAAAGAAATGGAGTAGCGGATGCACTAGCAAAATTTGGAAAATCAAACACAGGATAACCCCACACCCGATCTTGTATTTTGAAGAACTCCCCCCCCCCCCCCCCGGGCTCTTATCCTCATGCACCTACATTATGATGCAACTGGCACGTCCAACCCCCTTTAAATTGTCTCGTGTATTGTCGCACTCAATTTTTAAGTATCAATATAAATCCTCCTAGCAAAAAAAAAATGAATTTTTAATTGCCCAAAAAAATAGGCCACAAGTTTGAGAACTCCTCAAGCAAAAAAGGCAGAAATGTCAAAAGTTAATGTTGGTTATGGGGCAAAAAATTGTTTATTGTCCATTGGTCAGGTGATCTGCCCCAAAGGCCAAAAATTCAAAATTATTTGGGAACTTAACCCTTCCTCATGTTTATCTAAACAATATTTCGAATTACATCCGTTGATGAGTTACTAAACGAAGTAGGTATCATCTTTAGTATCTTATTCTGTTTGGTTCATATTTGGCATGTAAATTTTTGCATATATTAGTATATATTAAAGAGATATGAAATCATCTAGAAACTACTTTAAATAGATTATATGAGAAAAATATATGGGAAGAAAGTCGTTTTCCCTTATTAATAAAATATTTTTCAAGAAAAATATCTTTTGGTGTTAGATTGCAGTAAGTAATTATTTGTTTGGAGTAAAATATTTTCTACCAAACACATCCTATGTGTATGTATTTGTGTGATCGTGCGCAAGAATGACAATAGTAGAAATATTTTTCATTGTCCTTTAGAATGACGCTGGAGAAAATTCACATTTCTTAACTTGAAACGATGTGAACAAGCGTATTAGTCTATGAGGTATTTTATGGTATGCGTTTATATCAAACTCTATTAATTTATCATGATTAAGTGATATAAATTAAGGTGATTAATTTATAGCAATTCAATAAATATATTAAATATATTTTCACAAATATGATTATCAGTAAATCATAGTTAACTAATGCATTTGCTCACCTTAATTTATAAGCTATATATATATATGTCAAGATTTTAGACTTTCATCTTGCTGTCATGACTAAAATGTTGCTTTAATTCCACATTCTCTTTACAATTTTTGCAAAAGTTGGTCTTTTAGAAAAGCACATCTATGTTATAGAGGACATAAAATAATTTTAGAAATAAAAAAGAGATATTTTAGAATAACCACATTTTTTGCTTATTTTCTTCCTTTTGTACCAGCCTTGAACCCTTGACCAAGTGGTGTTAGAGAAACTCTCTCAACCACTATAACCAAGAGTGGCCGATGTCCTCCAATCCACAGGAAAAGTGATTTATTGCAAAGTAATGTAAAATGAGCCCTGAGAACAAAGTTTGAGAATGGTCCAAAGATTAAGTGCATAGTGTCCATGCATCAATTAGCAAATTACTCGTCGGTTGGCTAGAACTAATTATATCGCTAGCCAAAAATGTACAAAAATACATTTTTTATATAACTAAAAAACTATGATTAATAAATAGCATCACCAAAGTGGTCTATTTATTTGGAGTCACTAAAAAGTTATTAATATTATATACATGTGAGATTATTTAATACATGGATTGAGAATAATGATTAATAGATAGTTTCCACCAAAGTGATTTGTTTATTTGAGTTATTGAAATATTCTCAATGCACCATGCCCAAATTATCCGTTATAAGTGTACACTAGTATTAGAGATTTTCCTTTTAATACTAGTGACAGTAAATTAATGCTAAGGATAAGTTGATGTAAAAGGAGGTTTTGTGTCTCTTACCTAAAGGAAGGACATAATGTATGTTTTGTACTCTTGGATAATAGGGGGAGTAGGTTTTGTATCTCTTGCCTAAAGGTAAGGATGCAATGAATGCGTGATGACCCAAAAGGTCATCACCTATTTTTTTAAAATAAATTCTGCGCTCCGAGGCCTCAACAACCTCTTTTAGCATCACCTCGATTTGCGTGCACAGTCCGAGCGCGTAGACAGAAAGCTTATATATGAAAATCTGTGAAAAATGATAAATTTTGACTATGAAATGAATTAATTTGACTTCGGTCAATATTTTGGGTAAACGGACACGGACCCGTAATTTGACGGTCCCGTAGGGTCCGTAGGAAAATTTTGGACTTGGGCATATGCACGGAATCAAATTCTGAGGTCCGCATTATGGAAACCTGTGGTATCGGGCCCGCATTATCGTTCCGGAACCCGGTACAGGTTTGATGTGATTTATATGTGTTGTCGGTAAGTTTGGTAAGAAACGGAATCCATTTGATGTAATTCGAGCCTTAAATGCAAAATTTGATGTTTAAAGAAGTTTTGAGAAATTTCATTAATGTTGAGGTTTACTTCGATGTTCATGAGGTTATTTTGGTTATTTGAGAACACGAATAAGTCCGTAGGATGTTTTTGAGGTTGTGCGTATGTTTGGTTTGGAGCCCCGAGGTCTCGAGTGAGTTTTGGATAGGCCGTGGGGTGTATTTTGGACTTAGAAAAATTGCAGATGCGACTTCATCCTGAGTGGACTGGCAGCCTGAGTCGCAAATGCGACTTCATCCTCGCAAATGCGATTTCGCATTTGCGAACAGCCTCTCGCAATTGCGATGATGGTTGGAAGGCTGATGTATCGCAAATGCGACATATGTTTCGCAAATGCGAAAGTCCAATTTTCCTGAAGGGTTCGCAAATCGAGCCTGTTTCGCAATTCCCAACTTAGCAGAGGTCGGGGGTTCGCAATTCCCACATCTGCGACCTACAACTTTTATACTTAGACGAATTTTTAACCCATTTTCATCTCCTCTCAAAACATAAACACTCTAGGGCGATTTTTCAAAGGCTTCTTCTTCTTCAAATCAATTGTAAGTCATTTTTAACTAGTTTTCTTCAATCTTTAACATGATTTCAACTCAAAATCAATGATTTTATGGGGGAAATTGGGCGTTTTGGATAGAACCTAAGTTTTTCAAAAATTGGGGATTTGGACTTCGATTTGAGGTCCGATTTCAAAATATATTATATATTTGGGTTTGTGGGGGAATGGGTAATCGGGTTTTGGTTCGAACCTCGGGTTTTGACCATGTGGGCTCGGGGGCGATTTTTGACCTTTTGGATAAAAGTTTGGAAAACTCATTTTCATGCATTGGGGTAGATTCATTTAGCATTTATTGATGTAATTAAGTAACTTGTGGCTAGATTCGAGCGAATTGGTGGTGGAATCAAGGGGTAAAGCTATAATTGAAACTTAAATTATGTTTGTGGCATCGAGGTAAGTGTTTGGTCTAACCTTAGCTTGAGGGATTATGAGTTGTGTCTTATTTTCTACGTGTTAATTGTAGAGTACGACGTATAGGCATGGCGACGAGTATCTATACGTCGGTATCAAGCATGCCCATGAGTCTTGTATTATAATTGTTATGATCCCGTTGTGGTTTATTGTGCCTAACATGTTATTATTATCATTGTTCCCTTGCCGGGACGTTTGTTTGATATTATTGTTCCCTTGCCAAGATACTGTTGAAATATCATTGTTCCCTTGCCGGGATGTTGTTGAAATCTTAATGTACCCTTGCCGGGTAGTTGTTATATTTTTCTTGTTCCCTTGCCGGAATTCTTTGTGATTGTTGTTGATTTGTAATACGGGAGCGGGTGGCACGTCTGCCACAAGATATATGAAATGGGAGCGGGTGGCACGCTTTCCACGAGACATTTGAAATGGGATCGGGTGGCACGCCTGCCACAAGATATGTGAAATGGGATCGGGTTGCACGCTTGCAACGAGATAAATGAATTGGGATCGGGTTGCATGCCTGCAACAAGATGTGAAATGAAAGTGAATTCTGCCTTCGTTTTTCCTTACCCTGTTTAGTAGTTGGATTTTAGTTCCTTTATAATTCTCTTGATATTCTGTTGTTACCTATTATTTCCCGAAGCATGTTTTCCCCCTCCCATCTTTACTTGTTTATTTCTTCTTTACTTTTCGCTGTATATTATATAACTGCACAGGTTTATTTGGTAGTCTGGTCCTAGCTTCGTCACTACTTCGCCGAGGTTAGGCTAGGTACTTACCAGCACATGGGGTCGGTTGTGCTGATACTACACTCTACACTCTACACTATGTGTAGATCTGGAGCAGCTCTTGGATTGTAGTTTGGAAGCTACCTTCAGTCCACGCGAAGATCCAAGGTAGACCCGTAGGTGTCCGCAGCCACTAGCATCTCCTCTATCTTTTATTTTTTGTTTTATATTTTTGCTTCAGAAACAGTGTGTCTTTTATTTTTTGACCTAGTATTTAGCAGTCTTAGACCGTCTGTGGTACTGTGACACCAGGTTTTGGGTGATTAAGGCTTAAGCAGTTGTAATAAATACATACTTCAGATATTTTTATGGTTTTCTTCCGCTTAAATTAAATTTTCGTTGTTTATACGTTATCGCTTCATGTTTGTTAAAAAGAAAGAAATGGACAATGAAGTAATTAGTTTAAGGGTTTGGGTTGCTAGCACACATTAGCAGGCGCCAGTACGACTCCCGAGGATGGAAAATCCGAGTCGTGATAGAATGCCTTGGACTCCTTGATTTTTAAAAGGAGAGACAGTTGCTCCAAATGTTAACAACATGACTACTCAGTTGAATTCCATTAAAACTCTGACTAGTAGCAACTACAAGAAGTGGAAACAGGATTTTGAAATAGTGTTAGGCCTGACAGACCTGGACTTTGCATTGATTGAACAAAAACCCGCTGAACCCCCAACTACTAGCACTGCTGATGAAAAGGCTAAGTATGAAAAAATGGATGAAGGCTAACATATTGAGTTTTATGATCATGAAGAGATCTATTTCTAATCATCTAAAAGGTGCAATTCAGGATAATGGAAATGCAAAAGATTTCTTGAGTGTCATTGGACAGAAATTCCTAGAATATAATAAAGCTGAGATAGGTAGCTTGATTGATTCCCTGTCTACCATAAAGTATGACCTTGCAGGTAGTGTCCGTGATCATATTATGAAATTGGTTAACATTGCTATCAAACTGAACAATTTAGGTGTAATAATTACCGATGATTTTCTTGTTCACCAATTTCTAAAGTTCCTTCCTGAGCAATTTAACCAACTTAAGATAGCCTATAATTCACAAAAAGATAAATGGAGTGTTGATGAGATTATTACTGTTTGTGTGGTAGAGGAAGGGAGGATCCAACAGGAGAAAGTTGAGGGTATAGTGAACTTTGTTAACTTGTCTAGATTAGCTGATTATCCCTCTTATAAAAGAAAAGGTGGACCCAAATTTCACAAATAGAAACATGGTCAGTCTCATCATCCAGGTGTCACACCTCCTTTTTACTCGCGCCCGCAAGGGGCGTAGAGAGAGTTTTTCCAATTAAAGGACAATCGAACCGGGATTTATTTATTTATTTCAGAGTCGCCACTTGGGAGATTTAGGGTGTCCCAAGTCACCAGCTTAATCCCGAATCGAAGAAAAGAATGACTCTGTATTACAGTCCGCAATCCAGAAGTCCGGATA